GTACACTCTGAACGAAGTGCTCTACTTGAAGTGCCGAGCCGGTGTGAAGGGAGTCACGCAAGTCCACCGAGCCGGCTGCCTCAAGTTTGTGTTTAAACCGGCGAAATTTCATGCCCCAAGAAGCGACTCCGGCAGTTCTGGCCCGAGGTGGACAATGCAGTGTCCGTGAACGGGTACAGGCACTGGTTTCGAGTTCAGCAGGTATGGGCCTTGACAAGGAGGAAACAGCCATGTTACAATTGGTTCACGAAGTTGTGCCCCGGCTCTTTGAATTTCTTTGCATTCCCAGCGTTGGCATATTGTGTGTGTGTGTGTGCTCCGTCTGCTTGTTTCTGGAGCATCTGAGGCAGGACAACCCACGGCAGAGGTCTCGGCCGGTTGGAAAGTGGACGTTTCCAAGCACATAGTCAGGCGGGTTGACTACAAGGGCAAGAAAGCCGATGCAGCCGAGCAGTCTTTGAAGTTTGCCTTCGTTGCCTTCAGCTTGCCCGGGCTTCTGTACACTGCAGCTTGTCGGCAAAGTGGATAGAAACAACACATGCTGCTTGGTTTCTGAATGATACAAAGCGACCTGCCAGGTAGCATCGGTTCTGCAGGCGCGAGGCTGCAAGCCAGAGCTGCAGAAAGGTTGTCTGGCCGTTTTCCAGACAGTCCTGACCGCTGCCGGCCCCGCAGAGATGACGGTGGAGCTGCTGCCCAACATGGCCGGAGGAGGCACCTGACTGCCTGGACCCGACCGTTGCACAAGTTATGTTTTGGTTTTTTGTTTGGCAGTTGTTGTTTTCCTATGACTAAGTGGCTGCCTGTGTCTGAAACGCCCAAGCTGGCAGAATTATAGGATGGCGGCGCCGACGGTGCGGCAGGCGACACTGCAGAGCCTGCTCCGCAGGCCGCTGGGGCGGCTGGCAGCGACCAGGTCGACGGAGAGCGGCTGCGAGACAGCAGAAGGGCACTGGCCTCTTGCAATGCTGTTCCTGGATGGCTCTCCGAGAAGTATGCGATGCCGAGCGACTGCACTGTGATCCACGTCGTGCACACGGGGCGAACTCTGCCACACTTTCAGATTCGCCTCGGCGGCGGCAGGATGCATGATGGGAAGATACTTGTTGGCACATTATCTTGATTTTCTCTGTTTTGGAAGACGGTTAGAACCACCTGCTGATTCTATGTGTTGCTGATTTGTTTGATGCAAGCTGCAAGTTTCTGCAACTCAGGATGAGCTGCAGTGCATCGTATAATCCGGACCTGGATGTGCTGGCCATCGACACTGCAAAAGATGCCATCGGAAAGCTCTCGGCGAAGCGGCGTTCGCAGCTTCAAGCTTGGTTCATGTGCTGGGCGTGGGCCAAGGCTGCCGAGAGCGGATCGAAGCGCCGAAGGGTGTGAAAAAAAGGAGGGCGAGACTGCAGCTCCGTGAACCCTTTGATTGTGTGTAATTAGCCCCAACCTCAACCTCGAAAATAAGTTCCGCCTGCTGGAGTCAAGATACCAAATAGGAGAGTTCCTGAGGCACACACATTTCTAAAGAGTAGTATATACCACCAACCCAACCGCCGAAGCAGAACGATGATCTGAGCTATAACGGCCCCTGAAGCAGACCGGCTATGGACACCTATGATTTAGGGGGTCGATGTTCTGGATTTCAGAGGCTTGACGAACCAGCAAAATGTTGTTTCATGGGGCTCCTGCATACACGCATTGACAACTTGTATCGTCCAGATGTTCAGGCCCCTGTTTCAGGTTTTAGGGTCGATAGGGCTTTGGTAAGCTTTCTGGTGTCGGGTTTGCGATAAACTAACCAGAGGGTTTAGGTCACATGCGGATGTTGGTTGTTGAGATGTATCGGACTTCGACAGAAGTCTCGGCGACACAGAGTTAAATGCCACGGACTCCCAGATCGATCTCGGGAACGTGTTTATGGAAAGTTAGTGGGAATTTCGAACGGGAACTCGGTTCATATTCAATCCCATGGCCCTAGCAAAGACCCCGAAGAAACCTTGGTCAGAACCCTACACTGTCTAGTTTTTAAACCCTAGAGCAACATCGCCAGACCCGCAACGCCCTCTTAACAGGCCCCGTATCTAAGCTCCAGTTTGATAATTGGCATAGGGTTTCAGGGCCCATTATACTACTATATCTAGAATCAAAGCCTTAAGCCCTAAACCCTGTATCGGTAAGAATTTAGGCCCCTACATAGGAGCCCGAGCAGCTACAACCCTCAGGGTCCATGTACCTAAATAGTCTACACCTCCCCCCCCCCAAAGCACCTATATAAAGACTACTTTAAGGAAAATATATCTACTATTTGGGCACATGGACCCTTAGGGGAATAGCGTTCTGGGTTAGATTTTCGAACAAGTTGGCATTGCTGCCTGTGTCATAATGAAACCTGGAGGTGGCCCATGGTTCACTAGTCCGTTCAGGTCTTTCTGACGAAACCCTAAATGGGTGTTGTCAAAATTATGGTCCCTTTTTGGGTCCTTATTATAATACGGCACCTATTATTTAGGGTACCCCAAAAGGGACCATAGTTTTGACAACTACCCAAATCCTAAACCCTGTTCAGGTCTTTCTGACGAAAGCCTCAAACGAGCTTGGGTGGCGGCCAAATATGGACGCATTGTTGGCCTTGGAAAAAGCCATTGAGGCTGGCTCGGGCCTGTGTAGGGTTTAGAGTTTAGGGCGGGGTCCAGGGAACAAGCATCAATGGTGCATCAAGAAATGTCAACTTACGCAGCTCGAAAACTGTTCCCCAAACCAGAACGACTCATCAACTTCATCAAGGGTTGCTTTATTTGTTACAGAAAGAACCTGAAGCAACGGGATGTTGAAGTCTCTGCGCAGTCTTCCGTCGCAGTCTGCACCTTCGTCCAAAATAAACAAACCCTAAATAAACAGCAATCTAGGGCTTCAGCCGCATAGCTTGGTTGCGAGGCTTCCACCCATGCCCCGAAATAGGCGATAGCTATCTTCCAAATAGGCAAAATCCAAAGTCTCCGAGACCCGAAAGACCCCAAACCCTAAACCCTAAACCCCCAGTTGAGGGTTGTTTTGATGTTGGGGCACTCCGAGACCCGATTCCCCAATTGCTGACGGCTTTAGGGTTTCACTGGGCTGCATAGGCGGACTGTAGATGGGTAGTTCTCTAAAATAGGGTCCCTTTTAAAAGTTCTTTTTTAAAGGGTGGGTGCCGTACTATACTTGGAGGGTCGGGGGACTTAGTAAATGGTTATTTTATAGACTTATAAGTAGTATAACCCCAATTAGGGTCCCTTTTAGGGTACATATAAGTCACTTATTACCTACTTACTAAGTCTCCCGACCCTCCAAGTATTGGGGACCCAAAATGGGACGCTAACTTTGAGAACTACCCAGGTTCAAGGTTGCAGAGGCTCCGGAAGCTGATAGTGGAGCGCTTTCCTAGAATAACCGGTTTAGGGCTTAGGGTTTAGGACGGTTTAGGGTTTAGGGTTTAGGGTTTAGGGTTTAGTAGGGGGACAAAAACGGTGAATGCAGCCATGATCCCCAAGGGTCCCTGTACCCAAATAGTATATACTTTGGCCTTAAAGTCGTCTTTATATAGGTACTTTGGGGGCAATGTATATACTCTTTGGGTACATGGACCCTTAGGGTATTGTCGGGTCTTATAGCGGTTGCTCCAGGTAGTGGTTTCTTGTTGTTGGGCGTTAGGGCTGTTAGGGTGTTTGGTTATATGTATTTGGGTTTTCACTTGCGGGGGTTGGCTTCAGGATTTAATTCAGGATTTCAGGGTTTGGGTTTTGGGATTCTGCACACGTGTCCCGAGTAATCCAATAGTGGAGCCTCTCGAAGCAATAACAAACCCGCCCGAAACGTATGCACAGACCAGCACTCTGCACTCTAAACGGCTGCGGCCCTGAATTAACCCTACGTAACCTTATTAGCGAATGGGGGAACTTTATGTAAACGATTTGGCCCTATCCATTGGTTCATGTTTAGTACACCTTAGAAAGTTTGAACCACGTTTGTGGGCCCGTTTGGTTATCGAAGAAGAGAGTAAGCCCGAAAGTAGCAGGAGAACGAAGAGGAGGAGCCAGCCGCTGGGCACGTAGGTGTACTATTCGGGCACCTACACTTCCGGTTAAGTGTTTATAGCGTTTTGGGTTTGGGTTTATGGTTTGGCGTTTAGGGTTAGGGTTTAGGGTTTAGTGGATCGGGTTTAGGGGTTCCTTTACGGGTCGCTTTTCAGGGGCAGAGATTCAGGGATTTTGAGTTGGGGTCTTTGATTCAATTCAGAGTTTAGGGTGAGTGGTTCTGACCCTAAACCCTAAACCCTAAACCCTAAACCCTGAACCCTAAACCCTGAAAGTGGTTCTCTCTCTCTGGGCTTTTGATTCCGAGCTGCCGTCCTGAACCCTGAACCGTGAAGGGTTCTGAGTTTGGGTTTTGGAGTCACAGCTGTCAGCCGAATAATTGCCAATTTAGTTCCACAGGGTTTCTTAGCATAGCTATTATACAGACTGTAGCATACCCCCAAACCCTCTTCCAGGTGTTAAGCTCCCTAGATTACGGATATTGCTGCCGCTGACGTAAGAATCGTATTTTGACCCAAGGGAGCCATCGTCTGGAACAGTCACTGCCAGTAGTTTCCACTAGTATATTGCGACCAGAACCTATTGCTAACATAGCCAGGGCCAACATTTAGATCCTCAGTGCTTAAGCATTGTCGACTTTGCTCGAGTTGGTATCCTTGAGCCCCGTGGTGGCAGTTTAACTCTCGTATACTTCCGAGACGCGAACCTTGAGTTCCCGTAGGTTAATAATGAAGGGTTTGCCGCCGAGTCCTTACCCCTCAACTGCCATGTCTCCTGGACAGCTTGAGATCCTGCTCTAAGCATTCAACCCTAAACCCTAAAACCCTAAACCCTCAACCCTAATCCCTAAGCCCTAAAACCCTAAACCCTAAACCTTCCTTCCCAGAAATCCAGATACTTCAGCATGCACGAAGGGCACCAAGCCAGTCTCTTCCATGGTCGGCAGCCGGGTCCATGCGGCTAAACACCCTAAGCCGTGACCTCGAAGACTTGAAGACCATCCAACAGCCCAAGAGCACAAAGGCCTAAGGTTTTTGTTGTCACTTGTTGGTATAAGTCCTTGAAGAGGTGCGCAATCCGGGGGTTAAGGCAAGCCCGGCACCCTCAATTCCTGATTGATGTAACCTACCCTTTTCGGCGTTTTTTTTGCAAAATATGGTTTCCACATGTAAGTCCTAACACGGTTTAGGGTTTTGGGTCTTCAGATCTAATTAAATTAATTAGAGCCTTCAACTGGAGCTACTCAGGCACCGGAATCTGACCACGAGGAGGAGCTCTCGTGAATCAGAGCCGTGATCCGTGGCTCCGCAAACCTACTCGAAGGGCTTGTGGTTTAAGGCACCGGGGTGGGAACCTAATGTAGGGGCCTGAATAGTTACCAATACTACTGTAAGGGGCTCCTTATTATAATGACAGTATCGTGGGCCCCAAAACCCTAGTTAGTCTAGTTGTCAAGGCCCCTACATTTTGGTTTAAGGTGCCGGGGTGGGAAACTACCATCCTAGTCGGGTTTGCAGGTGGGGCTTAATAGCCCGACCCATGCCACCCGGGAGAAGCAATCTGAGGCCAGAAAGCACGGCTAAGACCCCTGGGGTTTAGGGTTTAGAGTTTAGAGTTTAAGATAGGGGGCTTCATAATTAGAGTAGGGTTTGGGGTCCTGTATGGTATAACTATGATAAGGAACCCCCTAAAATAGTATAGGTAGTTATTAAGGCCCCTATATTAGGGGGTCTCATCCTAAACCCTATAAGCCCTAAAGCCTAACACACACACACACACACACAAGCGAGCATCCTGTTGTATTGCCCTCTAACCTGGCCACTGGATTTGACTGTAAGCTGGCTACTTACCACATGGGTGGCTTTGAAAATAAGGGTTTAGGGTTTAGGGTCCTTTTTATTTAGGTTCCGTATTATTTGGGGACCTATGAAAGGACCCTAGTCACCTGTTCTTGACTGAGACTACGTATGTCAGTATGCTTTTTCGCGGTGCCCTTGTACTGTTCAGACGGCT